AGATTTATGCCACAGTAATATGATGTGAGACTATAAACAGCTGGTCCAGACAGGATGCAATGAGGCTAGAGATCAATAATCCATACCCTTTGCTAGACTGTACTAAATCCAATCTCTTAAATTAGAGACAATCATTTCATATTTGCCTTAAATTGCATATTGAATCAGAATGCTTAAGCCTCAGTTACAGTACATTTGATCTATGGCAACCATACAGCATAGGCCCATGGCCAGGGGGAAATGACCAGGTGGCGGGAGAGTTCGCTTTTAACAACTTTGGCCTAAAAATAGCCAAAAATCACTAGAAAAGTGCTCAGAAAACTGTATGATTTTGAAATATGCAGCAGCATAAAATATAGGTAATAGGGATAAGCAGTACAATGCAGATTTTCTATATCGATGTTGTGAAGCTACGGCTGCCATGGAGCAAATGAGACTGGGGCTTTCGTCAGAAAACCATAACACTACAATTTCTGCATGTTAATATATATGAAAATTTTCATTAAAGTTCATTGAGATTATATCAGCTTCAAACAGTGAAATGATTATGTTAGTCAGAGGGTAGAATTGTTGTCTGGTGAGGAACCAGGGTACTGGAGATGAATAATCCCATGTGGTGATACTACATCCATTTAGGGGTCAGTTTGTTGTAAACCTCTAAGAATAAATTAATATGTGTCAAAATGGCCAGTGTTTCTCTATGGGAAGATTTCATTTATTTTTCAAGTACATGTATGATTGAGACAATATGATGTGGGATATTCAACCTGGAACATAAGGAACTGGTGAACATCCAACCTACAGAAATAAGCAACATTTAGGGAATAGGGAAATCCGACATAGCTTCCGGCCCTTATTTTGACAATAGCATCCCCCTCCCATACTTGCTCTATAGCCAATAGTAGTAATAGATGCACAAGGAAATACCAGAGTAATTTTGTCACAATATGTGTCTATAATCACATATATTAACCTTTAGCAGACCACCGGCGACCGCGTCCGCCCATTCAAAATTACCGCCAGAATCCACCGGCGGATCCGGACGACACAAATCTAACTTTTGAAAACTTTACTTTTTCCCGCCGTTCTTAAGATCCAATTAGATTGCCAGATTTATTCAGTCCTTAGTAGGTGACTTCCTGTTGACCTAGAAATGGCGATGTTTCGAAAAATATTTCTCAATTCAACAATTTAAACAGTGTTTAAGTCGTTTTTAGTGAACAAATCGTACAAAATGACGGCCAAATACGATCACAACGAAAATGTGGAGGAAATGGATTGCGATTTCGAGCTCTTTAGGCTTTTGGAAGCCGATAATGGTCATCGAAAAAAGAAACTAGAATATTTTCTGAACTGAAAAGAAGAACATTCGATTGCTGCAAATTCAGTTTTGGATTCTGACCAGACGTTGAATCTCCCCAGGGGCGAAACGGCGGATTCCAGAGGAGTATTCATGGTATATTTATGCCCAGTCGTGTTTATGTACGAAAAAAATTCATGAGAACATTTTTCTCATGAGCCAGGCTAGTGTATCTTCCCTTTGTGAAAATTTTATCCAGATTCATTCAGTAGTTATTGAGATATTAATTATTTAGTCCAGGCATATCATTTTTGAAAAATAAGTCAGATGCGTGGGATATATTTGCTGAAATAAGTCAGAGTGCAGAAGGTTAATAGAAAATTACTTATAACTGTTCATGTATTACGCCTCTGTGGAAGCCTACTTGGAGGTTTCTCTGAAAACAGACCACGATTTGAACTTATAATTGAAACCAAACAGTGGTTCTTATAAGAATACCAGAACTATGTTAACAAACAAAATCCTTGTTCAAATCCCAAACAGAAATGTCAATTTTAAAATATATGAACAGTTATCTGAGGATATCCTTACAACTACATATAGTGAACTTGTGATAGTAGACAAAAACTAGACATGTTTAGTTCACAATGAGTAAACAATGAGACCCATTCAGGTACTTGTTAAATCTCCCAAATATTCAAATGACAAGTTCTGATTTTTCAGACGTGGTAAAGTAGACAGATAAGGGGAGGAAACTCTGTTTTGTCACAATTTATAATTATCAAACCAAGCTTGTCGCATACTTGAGGTTTTACTGTCATATGTTTTTGTTCTATTTTGCAAACATTAAATTATAGCTTGACTCTCCTCAATTCATATTTGGCCAAAATATGACATTTTCAAATCAACTGGAAAATCTTGGAAGCCTCCTAGATTAAAGCAATGCAGATGTCCGAATACATAAAGATAAAAACAACTTTTATAAACATGTGAAAATGTGACTTTAATTCTAAAATCTGTAACTGGTTTCTACATGTACTAATAAGCCTATTTAGAAGTTCAATTGCACTGTCTGAGCCATCATGAAAAACCTTGATTGATCCGGAGTGATATTTCATGTGAGACAACTATATTGTGGTTTCTATTGCTTGGGGATATTTATAATACGTACTAAGCAACGTGCATATCTTATGGTCCATTGAACTAATCTCTATATTAAATCAAGTGTGGTTAATCAAATTCAAACAGCCAAAGGACAGTTATTTCCTGGCATATCCTTCACCAAAATTTTATTTGAGTTAAGAATTAATACAGTTATTACTAATCCATAGCTGACATGATCTGCTGTGGCTGTTAAGTTAATCTCAATCAAAATGAAACTAAAACCCCAAAAATTAAATTTATCGTGATCTAGAGAAATCTGTCATCTGAAATATTTCCTAGATATTGTTAGTGGGAGGAGTTAACAATAAGCCTTTAAATAGTGTATAATATACCAGCAGGAGCATACCCTGTTTTTATAGCATTTTGCCAAAATAACAGTCAAATGCTTTATGTAATAGCAATAAAATAGAATATGATAATACATGTTCATAAACCTCCCTGCTTACTGCAGGGTTTTACTAATGTTAATTCAAAAACGTTTAAATTATAAATGAAGTATGGTGAAATAAGAATGAAAATGACATTTTGATAGATTTTGTAAAAACTGTTAAAGCTAATGATCTACTGGGCATAGAGCCAATTGAGGAACATACATGAGTATAACATAAAACAATATTTGATCTGTTAATTGGTATCTGCATTTTGAACAACTTTAGGAAGTTGACTTATGTTTTAAAGTCTCTGTTCACCTACCCCTCCCTATCTTCTTATAAATCTCTCTCTGAAACTTTGGGGTTTGATGCAATTATGTTTCCAAGTCATAAATTCATTCTGTCAATCTGTATACCAATATACCATTAAAGGCTGTGACAGGGAGGCCAAAAATACAGGGGCTCGAATCTCGATGTGAGACTACTTATGATGATCCACATGCCAATATTATATAATCAATACATTGTTTCATCATCTAACAAGGATCTTACAGGCCCATAGCCAGAGGGGTTCGATGAGTTCGGCCTCAAAGTTTTTCAAAATCATGCAGTTTTTCACCATATTGATTTTGGCCATTTTTGGAACAAAATTATAAAAGTGAACCCCCCTGGAATTTTCCAAAAAGTGACCCCCCCCTTTTGGCAAATCCTGGCTACTGGCCTGATCTTATCAGGAATGAACATATTCACTCATTTAACAAGACTTTCCTCATTGATTTTTCTGTAGAGTATCTGCTTGTTTATGATAAACTACCATGGCTTAATTCACTTACAAGCCCCATGATGTTCAGTTCATATTTCTCAAATATCTTTCATTCCAGTGATTCAGACATATCTATCAAAACTATCAAAGATAAGAAATGAATACAAGTCTATCAAGCCATATTCAGTATCCTAAATAAGCGTTTTCTCAAAATGGAGCAAAGTTCCTAAGCTTTAAGGGATGATAAAAGAACACCAGATTCAAGATTTGCATGAAGTTGGTCTTGAAATTTTAGTTTTCATGATATTCCAAAATTTTGGTTTTACTAGGGCACTTATCAACTAACTACAGCTGCAGTATTTTGTAGCACCTGACAACCCCCCCCCCCTCCCCCTTCCTAATCATACAGTTCCTTTGTGTACTTAAGCTCGAGATAGAGATTATTATAGACTATAGAGCTTATTATAGTATAATATTAAGCTGACATCTGCTATCTGACTCTTTTTAACATGGGGAATGATGTTGTCTGTTATTTGTTTAACATAGAAAATCTGACGCCTGTTATCTGTTCAACATAGAAAATACTAACGTCTGTTTTCCAGTGTTAGTAAAGCAGAATGAAGAAAAGTCACATTGACATAGCCTATTGATTATTCCAATGAGTCTCCTGTATAATTACACTTATTAGACTGCTCGACATCCATGTAGCTACTTTAGCCTCTTTATATTCATAATTCAATATTTACAATATTCAAATTATAGAGTCATTGAAATCATAAGCTAGCAAAATAATAAAAGCTTGGCTAAGCATATATTTGTAATTTTAATATATGAAGGATATGACACCCCCTGGCATATCATTACTCATAAAAAAATTATGGAGTCAAAACAAAGATTTTATAATATATTCTAAGATTAATTCACTGTCTCTGTTCCATGAGAAACACACAAGAGATAAATTATTTACTCTAGCCTTACTGCTAACAATATAAGTGAAAAGGGACTACCAGATTTTAGCGCATTTACGGACATGTACTGTGTTTATCACGGAATGGCTATTTAATAATCACTGTGAAGGGTACCAACTAGGAACGAAATACCAAAAAGTATAATATCCCCCTCCCCCCAACACACCTAAGATTTGAACAGATCAATATCAATTGAAAATTCTTCTTGACAGACTGTCAGATATCAGATGTTCTGACAGAACTTAGAATGAAAATATCCCACGATCAATAACTAACGTATGTGTGGATCTACTTGTAACTTTAATGTATATATGGAAAATTGTGATATGTTCTACATATGTGTTTTCAACTAACATTCGTAAACCCAACTTGTCAAATATTCTTTGTCAAAAAAAATTCAAAATAAAAAATAGGAAGTGCGTTTGAAAGCTTACCTGTCGAGCTAGTGTCGATTAAATCAAATTTTCTCGCGATCCTAGGATACTCCTTCAATTTTCTCCCACTTAAGGGTATTCTTCCAGTATTTTGAGCGTCATCAAAGATCTTTTCTAACGTTCTTGTCAAAGAAGTTGGAGACTGGCTTCCGTGAGACACGGTCGCCATATTGGAAATGTTAAAATACGCATGCGCATTGTGATGTTTTGATTGATTGGTTCAAAATATTGAACTAGTTAGAAAGGGCACTGCCTTTGACATTTTGTCACTTTGAAATATGACAATCTGTTAAATGAAATATATACAACAAAAGAAAAAGACTTTCCAAATATCTTCAAATCTAGAATGTTTTGAAAGATCTCAACAATCAGAGGTTTTACTGCATATTTAAATGATACAGCAAAATCTGCCCAAGCTTTAACACTTGAAAGCCAGCCTAATTACCACAGAAGAGGCAGTTGTATTTTGAGAAAAGAGAGCTTTGTTTTCACTCTTTCAGTTTTTGATATCTCTGAACTCACCAAGATAATCAGAGTTCATCGTCGAAATAAGGACGACTTTCTATATATGGTCACTTTCTCTGATATTGTGTAAACTTTCAGCATGTGTTCCTTCCAGCTCGCCGATTGGTTGAGAAATGGTCAGCGTGGTAGGTTTGAATTGATTTATGACCCCAGCTATCATGGGGGCGGGGCTGCTAAACTGTAATATAGTCTATACTAGGGAGAGGGTAGTTTATAACTAGACTCTGCGTGCAGGGTATCACACTGACTGGTAAACTAAAAAATCATTGGCCAATAACTGAAATACCTCACATAGCAATGGCTGCAGTAAAACTGTTAAAATCCAATTATCCTGGTATATTTATTTTCCAATCAATCATGGGTCGTTGTGACATTTACATTACTCAATAAAAATAATTATGTAATATGTCATTATTATATTATTCCACATCTCTTTGATATGTCCTAGACGCTAATTACAATTTGGGTAAAAATGACATTTTCACTTTGGCATGTTGAAATGACTTTTACATTAAAGTTCTATTTAGATTCAATGTATTGATTTTACTCATTGTTCACTCCATGACAGTAAAGTTATTAATTCTTCTGTGTATTTGCATTCTCAATGTTGCCATTTGAGATGTTTGCCTACACATTTTGGGCGTAATACTTTGACATTATGGGTGTAATACTTCGACATTATGGATGTAATACTTCGACATTATGGGTGTGATACTTTGACATTATGGATGTAATACTTTGGTATTATGGGTGTAATAGTTCAACATTTTGGGTGTAATACTTTGACATTATGGGTGTAATACTTGGTATTATGGGTGTAATACTTCGACAGGGTGAAATACTGTGACATTATGGATGTAATACTTTGAATTATGGGTGTAATACCCTAACATTTGGGTGTAATACTTTGACATTATGGAAGTAATAGTTTGGTATTATGGGTGTAATAGTTCAACATTTCGGGTGTAATACTTTGACATTATGGATGTAATACTTTGGTAATATCGGTGTAATACTTATACATTGACATCATTCATGTAATACTGTGAATTATGTGTGTGATACTTTGACATTATGGGAGAAATACTTTGACAGTAGAGTGAAATACTCTGACATTATGGGTGAAAAACTTTGACATTATGGGTGTTATACTTTGACATTATGGGTGAAATGCTTCGACATAATGGGTGTAATACTTTGATATTATTTGTGAAATACTTGGAAATTATGGGTGTTATACTTTGACATTATGGGTGAAATACTTCGACATTGTGGGTGAAATACTGACATTATGGGTACTATAATGACTTTGCACAGTCCTTTGTTATCTACATTTGTGATTGTATGAGTAGAGACTGTGAAATACTTTCAATTTATAGGGGAAATACTTTCCCATTATTTGATAATAAGTGAAATACTAGGCATGGATGGTCCCTTATGAAATATACATTGAATAACGATCAATTGCATGGCAAATCAGATTACAGCCTAATTCTATAGAATCTTGGCTTCAAATTCAATAACCTCCAAGCCTTTTATATAACAGTACTAGAATATAGCCCTGGTATAAAATAATTCAAATTTTCAAATGTTATTTCAAAAAACTCCAGAAGCAACCACATATTTTAGTGTTTCTATACATCACATGGTAAAGTGACCTACTTGTCTGTTAAATTAATGCTGATTCCACTCTTTTCTCGGTTTTGGCAAGGAAAAAGCCATACTTGATATTCATTTATTTTTGGGATGCATAAAGGTACAATTCTGAGTTCTGGATATTTTAGAATATTCAACTATCTTTTAAACTCAGTCAATGATCGAGATGATAAAAAATTTGACTTTAAGTTTCCAAGTGTATTTATAATTTTGATTATGATCCCAAAAATAAACATACTCATTTTCATCAATATGTTTCCAAGAAGGGTATAGATGACTCTATTATGATATTTCGCCAATAAGAAAATCCCTTTATATGAAGTCAAAATGATCTAAGACTGAAATCTAAAATAAGTTCAAAAGAATGAAAAAGCAAGGAAAAAAGTAAACAAGCTTGAGCTACACATTCTAAATTATAGAGAAATGCAATGAAAGGAAATCAAGCATTTCATTCAAGATTTATAGACAAAAGATGAAATCAACATGATCATAAATATTTTATTTAAGGGCAATCGGCAACTAATCTGGTATAATGCACAATGGTTGAATTAAAGAACAACAGAGAACAATGGTGGATTTTCTTCAGATTTCCGTTAATATTTTGAAATAACAAGACTTAACAGCGCAACAGTCAGACCTGGATCAAATTTTCAAACAACAGACACTTCTGTATCTTTGATGTTGAACCATTAAAAGGTATGATTTTATTCTTATTTTGTCTTGAGTAATTTTTGTTATACATATTTAGCATGTATAATTTGACTAAAGCTCAGTGGATTTGAATTTTTGTTACTTTAATAGTCATGCCGAGCTCGTTTGTTTATAGCACCTAATTTATTCATAAGATGGAAAACAGTAAATAATGAAAAATTTCATTTACTTTTATCTTATTTTTTAGGGTTAGAAGTGGATTGATGCCACTGTGCCATAGGTCGATTTATCGATTCAAACTGAAGGTTGACAATATTTCAACTAATAAATATATACAAGTATCACCTTACTGACACTGACATTACTGTTACTGAGCGTAACAGAAAATCGAACAGTTCAACATGGGAAATAAAGAAAGTAGTCCAGCAAGTCCAAGAAATAGTTCTAGGCTTGAAAATGAATATGACGAAGAAGATGAAATTCCCCAAGAAGATACTCCACCAAAACCAACTCCCAAACCAACCAAACAGGGTCGAATGTCAAAATTATCAACACAAGCGTCGAGAATGAGTGTCAAAAAACGAGGCACGGGTGATTATGGCCGGATGGACATCTCATACGAGGAAGAAGACAGTATTGTTGAAAATTTTAATTCCACTAAAAAAGATAGTGTGACTTTGATGGGCAGCAACTCAAGCAGTGAACTAGGGTATGCGTTAAATATGGAAATGAATGTTAAGCCACCGAAACATAGCATGGCCAAATGGTATTGGTTGAAGGCTAAATGGACAACTAATGCACCAGGGTGGAAGGGACCACTTCAAAAAGGTTCAGTGAAGCCAAAGTGACAAAAAATCACGACCAAGGCCATGTCAATCACAATGAAGTATTAACAGTGTATATATGGGAGCATGGGGCAAGAGGTCCATTGTCTCCCACATGATTCTATTTATCTTTATCAAATACATTTACAATTGTATATAGCAGTCAGGAAAACGTCACAATCTTTGTATATTAGGAAGCATGGAGTTGGGGATTTGAACACAAGACACTCCAGCCCATCCTCCCAACAACATTTTCAAGTCTACAATTCATTATAATCATTTGTTAAAACTATACAAGCATCAACAGCTGTGAAGGTACAGAGTGAATTTCAACTGGGTTTACCACCCCCTCCCCCTTCACGTCCCTCATATAATGAAATTTGAAATTGTCTTTTGCATCTCACTGGTCATCAACATCTACACTAAATTCCTTTGTTTCATTCAAATTATCATTTTTAAGATTTTTGTGAAAAAATGAGAATTAAGTGTGACTGCTGGTGAAACAAATATTTGGACACTTTTGATTGGTTTGGGGAAGATTTTCATGGGCATGACACACCACAGAGTAACAGGACAGAAAAATAAGCATTTGCAGCCAAGGCATCATCATACAGGGTGTGTTTTAACACCTTGGAAGTCAAGGATGCCACAAAGTATGATCTCATCATTAAATCTGAAGATAGATGGCACATTTTATCTAAAGGAAGAGTATCAAAAATGCACATGTTCAATTTAACTTTCGTTTTCTGTTGGGGAGGGCGAGTTCCATCCAGGTCCTCATGTTCTAGAAGCCCTTACACCCTATGTTTGAGGGGGTTTTATTACATATATTGTTGAATAAACTCCCTCTCTGAAGTACATATCATTGTTAAACTTGTTAAACTATCTAACTAGTGCTTCATTATCTAAAGAAAAATGTTTAACAGTCCATAGGTAAACAGTTGGATTGTCTACCTCCAGTAAACCAATCAGATTCTAGAAAAGGAGTTTTGGATTATACTTGCATAAATCATACTATTATTTATTAACTTGGCTGGTACCAACAATTCAAGTTGGTACCACCTATTATAATTGACACCACCAATACAATATGCATTGGTACCATCAATAGAAGTCGGTACCACCCATAATGATAGGTACCACCAATACAATACAAGTTGGTACCATCTATTATAATTGATACCACCAATACAAGTTGGTGACACCCCACCTAAAATAATTGGTACCACCAATGCAATTCATATTGGTGCCACTTATTATATTATGGTTGGCTCAACCAAGAACATTGTAAATACCTCTACACATCAGATTATATCATTGTATAAAATAAAAGCAAAATAATATATTTAATTTGTTTTTTATTAGTCTATTTCAATGATTTATTAATGATAATGTTACACACTAAATGTGGCCATGCTCTTGTGCATCTAAAACGACTATAAAGACCCATTAACAATTACAATAAAAATATGAAGACAAAATAAAGAAAATTTCAATTCATGTTCTATACCACATGGCCTCTTTACAGAATTAAATGTGCTGTTTTTAATTACATGTAAAAAATTAATGATATGTACATTGAATTTATAAAGCCATTTCAAGATGTGAATATCTTGTCAGAACTGTAATGGGAAAGTAGTTACATTCAAGCAATGTTCTCTGTATCTGGTATGGTAAAACCTGTCTAACTGGAACACCTTTGGTACCTCTAAAAAGTGTTCCACTTGGGAGGTGTACAACTTCAAAGAGGTTCGTTTAACATTAAGTCAGTTGGTCTTCAGGGGACTATGGGAAGTGTTCTAGAGGTGTTCCACTTTACAGGTTTCTCTATATTATGCAATATATTTAGATATTCTTTCTTAAAGTTTGAAAAGAAATATCCAAAATTAAGCGAAAAAAGAAATCCAGCTATTGTATTAGATTGTGTTTTATGATTAATGAAATGGCTTTTCACGTGTTTCTGTACAGCGTAGTTTATATTCATTAGAGCATCAGATGAGTACATGATTTGAGCAACACCAAACTTCTGATACATTCTATTTCAGTCATAACATAATGATTAACAATTAAATGTACATGTTTTCCTATTTCTATCAAACTAAAGTTTTCATACATTTCTTTCATAAAAGGTTTTCTTAATCTAATAATTATGTTCAAACCGTAGCAAAATAAATTACAGGTACATGTTTTTGATGATTTTTGAAAGTAGACTTTTTACATACATATGAAAACAAATATATTTCTATTTTGAAATCATTATATTTTTCTACTAATATTTACATATATAACACTTTTGGCAATCTCAAATTAAACAACACCTCCCGATTTTCCAAGAAAAAGGCATTTTGTTTTCTTCATTTTTTCAAGGAAAATCGCCAAAATCAGAAAATAATAATTCTCTCACATTCTCAATATGACTGCTATGCATAGAATAAAAATTTCAAATCTACATTATCAAATGAAAAACAACATTATCAAATGGAAAAATACATTATCAAATGGGTTAAAGTACATCAAATGGGCAACTACAGTAAAACCTGTCTAAAATAAACTTAAGTGGAACCATAAATAGGTTCTCATAGAGAAGTGTTCGGGTTTGAAAGGTGTTCATATGAACAGGTTTTACTGTATATTTTCAAGTGGAAAATTACATTATCAAATTGAAAACTAGATTATCAAATATAAGATTAAGCTAACCAACTTGGACATTAAGGAGACTCCTGAGTTACTGAAACTCAAAATGTGCAGAAGAATATGTGACTCTGGACCCTGTTATTTCTAACTACATGTTTTAATTTGTAAAATGATGTGGAAAAGAATGAATTTAGCAAAGAATAAAGTAAATAAGTACAGTTAACACTCTAAATTGTAAATAAATGCAAGAAAATCAATTAAATTCATTAAGTATTTACAAAGAAATTAATGAAATGAACCGGACACCAAATCAGAGACAGTATTCTATGTACTGTACGGTAAGTAAAATATTATGATTATTACAACATCTAAAAATTTACAAATGAATTCACAGTTTAAACTTGATTAACTTATTGATTAAATTAACTAGTTCAAAAAAACAAAGGCTGAGGAATCAAATATTTTATCAATGACAAACAAAAAAAGTTTATTTTTTCCTCATGAAGTAGATGTTCAATTGTACATGTGAATGTGTTTGGGCATTCTTCTATTTACACTCCTTTGTATCATATTTAATTTTAAATTCTTTACAGATAAAAAGTAAGTCTTTAATAATAACATATGTGAAGGTTTACAAATTCTGGAATGTTCTTAAATGTTTCCTGTGTGTTGGTTGCTATGGGAACATCACATGACCTTGGTGTACTCCAAGGCCTTTCTAAGGTGTCTCAAGCATTTGCTTTATTTCACTTTAATTAGCAGTTCCAAACATACGACATAGTTTGACTTACAAAAATAATCATTTATTTTTTGTTCTCATTCTTGTGACGATTGAAATACCTGCGATTAGAATAGAATTTGCATAAAAGGTGTTGTACTTGAAATTGGATGTTGACATACATAATCGTGAAAAATAAAATATTATTTTCCCATGTAAATTCAGCATCAGTTTTGTTTCAATAAAACGCAAATATTTCAATCTCACCTATCACACAATACACACCAGTGATGCTCCTTATTTATCATTTTGAAATTTCTAATAGTCTGCTAAATGGATTTAAATTAAAATTACACTGATTCGTATCCCTTGCGGCTCTTTCGTCGACCAATCAGATAAGCGATAAGTACGATAATCACGAGACCAGCAAGGGCAGCTCCTACTGCGATGGGAACAATGTTTCCTGTTGAGTCATCTGCGGCGCAATCAACAGCTGAAATTGGTAACAATGCACCCTTTAGGGACTTAACCTCAAATCACAGAATTAACTCAAATCACATACAGGGTGGTCAAAAAATGGCAACACTGCACTTCCTCAAATCTTGGTCAGTTTAGGAAATTACTCCCAGATATTTTACACATTTGTACATCATTAGATTTCCTACCAGCCTACCATATTTCATGACCATCTGACAGGTAGTCACAATGTAAAAGCACTTAGAACAACATGCTCAGGGTGTGGCCATTATTGCGCTGTGGGGAAACCTGTACAAGTTGTTAATGACCCGAATGCATTCATTAGCAGGTATGGCCTGAATGACACGGATGATCTCCCTTTTGAGGTCTGCAGTTGTCCTAAGGTATTCTTGTACACTCATATCTTTGGAATATCCTCACAGGTATGGACATTTTCGATGACATTTGCAGGTTTGCTACAGCGCAATAGTGGCCACTAGAGAATGTTGTTTAACCTTTAGCGTGCTGCCAGCGGACGAGTCCGCCGAGACTAAAATGTCTCTCACAACTGCCGGCGGACCCGTACGCCCGATTTCAAACTTTTAAAAACTTTACTTTTTCGCGCCATTCGTATTGTCCAATTAGATTGCCCGATTTATTCAGTGCCTAACATGACTTCCTGTTGACCTAGAAATGGCGATATTTCGAAAAATAATTCTCAATTCAACAATTTAAACAGTGTTTTAGTCGTTTTTAGTTAACGAATCGTACAAAATGGTGTACATGTTAATGTACGAATAAATTCATGAGAACATTTTTTTCATGAGCCAGGCCACTGTATCTTCCCTTTGTGAAAATTTTATCCAGATTCATTCAGTAGTTATTGAGATATTAATTATTTAGTCCAGGCATATCATTTTTTGCACTCTTTGAAAAATAAGCCAGTTGCGTGGGATATATTTGCTGAAATAAGGCAGCATGGTAAAGGTTAAAGTGCTGTAACATTGTAACTATCAATCTGATGGTCATGAAATATAAAAGGCTGTTAGGAAATTGCTCATCGTACCCAATATGAGGGAGTAATTAGATAAAACGACAAAAACATGAGTGCTACATATATTTATAGATTTACCTCAAATCATATATATATCCAAATGCTCATTAGGCCGTAAGAATTAGATTCTTTGTTTTGCGTCCCCTTGCTTGCACGATTTTGAATAAATCAGAAAAAACAAACACATCCAAATAGCAGCCAAAAGGGTCCGAAAGTAACATCGCATTTTATTCAATCAGAATCAGACAAAATGGAGGATAAATTGATGAGCGTCAAAATTGACAGTGTTATTGATTACGTTGGCATACATTGTGTATTTTCTTATTTTTACCATTGAATAACATCTATATTTAAATATATTGTATAAAATGTACAGATCTGTGTTTGTATCACTGCAAATTGGTATGTCATCCCTTTTAATGCCCATAAAATGTATACATTTCTCAGCAAACAAGTTTGTGTTTTTTCTTGAGTTTGTGTTTGTTTTCCTTGTACCCTTGCATGATTTGGATTTTGCCAGGACGCAAAACAGAGAATTTAATTCTTATAGCCTTACCTCAAATTACAAAGTGGTATGCCTATTAAAAAATAGCATGTGATAAACTACTCACTATCTCCAGTGAAGCCAGTAGTGTTTGTGGTTCTAAATGCCTGAGCCCTGAAGTTGAATGTCTTCAACATAACTTGACCTCCTCCTAGGCTGACATCTTGCTCAGAGTTACACATGTAAGACTGGGTAACTGTTGGATTGCTCCCTGTAGAGAAGTAGCCTAACGTAGTGTTGGTCGTGCCTGAAAAATATGTGAATAAATATAAAACAGGGCAAGATTGGCCAACTGTTGGACTGCTCCCTGTTGACAAGTAGGTAAACACAGTGTTGTTCGTGCCTGAAAAATATGTGAATAAATATAAAACAGGGCAAGATTGGCCAACTGTTGGACTGCTCCCTGTTGACAGGTAGCCTAACGTAGTGTTGGTCGTGCCTGAAAAATATGTGAATAAATATAAAACAGGGCAAGATTGGCCAACTGTTGGACTGCTCCCTGTTGACAAGTAGGCTAACAGTGTTATTCGTGCCTGAAAAATATGTGAATAAATATAAAACAGGGCAAGATTGGCCAACTGTTGGACTGCTCCCTGTTGACAGGTAGGCTATTACAGTGTTATTCGTGCCTGAAAAATATGTGAATATATATAAAACAGGGCAAGATGGCCAACTGTTGGACTGCTACCTGTTGACAAGTAGGCTTACAGTGTTGGTCGTGCCTGGAAAATATGTGAATAAATATAAAACAGGGCAAGATTGGCCAACTGTTGGACTGCTCCCTGTTGACAAGTAGGCTAACACAGTGTTATTCGTGCCTGAAAAATATGTGAATATATATAACAGGGCAAGATGGCCAACTGTTGGACTGCTACCTGTTGACAAGTAGGCTTACAGTGTTGGTCGTGCCTGGAAAATATGTGAATAAATATAAATAAAACAGGGCAAGATTGGCCAACTGTTGGACTGCTCCCTGTTGACAAGTAGGCTAACACAGTGTTATTCGTACCTGAAAAATATGTGAATATATATATAACAGGGCAAGATGGCCAACTGTTGGACTGCTACCTGTTGACAAGTAGGCTAACACAGTGTTATTCGTGCCTGAAAAATATGTGAATAAATATAAAACAGGGCAAGATTGGCCAACTGTTGGACTTCTACCTGTAGACAAGTAGGCTAATACAGTCTTGTTCGTGCCTGAAAAATATGTGAATAAATATAAAACAGGGCAAGATTGGCCAACTGTTGGACTTCTACCTGTAGACAAGTAGGCTCACACAGTGTTGTTCGTGCCTGAAAAATATGTGAATAAATATAAAACAGGGTAAGATTGGCCAACTGTTGGACTGCTACCTGTTGACAAGTAGGCTAATACAGTGTTGGTCGTGCCTGAAAAATATGTGAACCAGAACAATGGCAACGCCAATGCGTAGCGAATCCCATCGAACAGAAATGGCTGGCATTTTTACAAACAAAATATATAGCCTAGCAAATATCATAAAATAAAACCCATAAGAAAGGCCACCATTCGAAATCGCTCCACTACTTTTCAAGTTACAGTAAAAAACGTAAAAACGGTGGCCATCTTTCAAAATGGCTGCCTTCTTCCCAAAGTGTCATTAGACAGGGTGCCATGCTTATAGTATTCACATATAAAATATGAACAAAATCGCTCTACTGCTTTTTTGAGTTATAGTAAAAAGTGTAAAATAACACACATAAAAATGCCGGCTGTTTTTCAAAATGGCCGCCTACTACCCAAAATGTCATTAGACATTGGGCCATGCTTAAAGTATTCACATACTAAATATGAACAAAATCGCTCCACTACTTTTCAAGTTACAGCAAAAATCGTAAAATGACGTGCAAAGGCGGCCATTTTTCAAGATGGCCGCCTACTACCCAAAATGTCATTAGACATTGGGCCATTCTTAAAGTATTCACATACCAAATATGAACAAAATCGCTCCACTACTTTCTGACTTACAGTAAAAAATGTTAAATAACACATGTAAAAATGGCGGCCATTTTTCAAAATGGCCGCCTACTACCAAAAATGTCATTAGACATTGTGCCATGCTTAAAGTATTCACATACCAAATCTGAACAAAATTGCTCCACTACTTTTCAAGTTACAGCAAAAATCGTAAAATGATGTGTAAAGGCGGCCATTTTTCAAGATGGCTGCCATGTATTTCTTCTGTATTTACATTTCTAGCTTAATCAATGTCCTATATAACTTTTTTACATTCAAAACATATTGCTATTACAGTTTTATATGCAGTCCCTTAATTACTGTAAAATCGGCACTAAAATGGCCGCCATTTTTAAATGAGCGGCCATTTTGAAAATCGGTTTCTGAGCAGAACTTCTACTCCCATTGGGTATATGTGTACAAAATATGAACAAAATCGGGCCAACGGTATTTGAGGTATTGCCCGGACGGACGTACGTACAGACGGACGGAGGCGTTCCCTATATCCCTCCGAACTTCGTTCGATGGGATAATAAATATAAAACAGGGCAAGATTGGCCAACTGTTGGACTGCTACCTGTTGACAAGTAGGCTAACACAGTGTTATTCGTGCCTGAAAAATATGTGAATAAATATAAAACAGGGCAAGATTGGCCAACTGTTGGACTGCTACCTGTTGACAAGTAGGGTAACACAGTGTTATTCGTGCCTGAAAAATATGTGAATATATAAAAAACAGGGCAAGATTGGCCAACTGTTGGATTGCTCCCTGTTGTCAAGTAGGCTAATACAACCTGCCATTTGTTACAGACATTGCACCGACTGTCGAACACCAAACCTCAATAGCCGAACGCTTCTGGGGTGACATAAAAATTAATTTTTTCATGGCCTCATGTAAACTTTACTAACCAGTTGCGTTAGCATTAGGGAATTTTTTCCCATCAATCTTGTAGGTAAGAGCGGTAGTATTCACAGAGTATGTATTGCCATCCTCGCTCTTCACGAACCACAGCTGGTATGTCCAACCCATGAATTTCATTATGAGCTTCTGCGTGGTATTTCCGCATTCAGACGTTGTTGTTGTTACGCCTGTTGTGGGAAGGTCCGTGACAGAATAGTTATTCTGGAATTATTTAAATGAAACGATTATTAATATATTTAAACAAAATTGGTGAATAACATGAGATAAAACCTAGAACATGACATAAACAAAAAATCACTAGGTTAATGAACTGTAGAACTTCTTCTCATAAGTGCAATAATTTAAAGAAAATCTCACTAGTGGTTTGTCAAAAAACTTCTAAAATGGCTGCCAGAAAACAAGATGGTTGCCCAAAAGTTGGTCAACCTAGGTCATCGAACCCCCTAAAATGAGTCCTAGTTTGGAAGAAGATCAAATGAGCCATTTTTGAATTGTTGTGAATCATTTTACCATTCTGAGATTATGTTATTTAACTATCTTAAAGTTAGTCAATTATTTGAACTTTCTTGAAAGATTTGTTTAAAAACTGTACCCTTCCAATTCATCCATTTTTGCTTTATGCGCATTTTTACCTGTAGTTGTACAGAACTTATTTACAATTTAAAAACTCACCTTGCCATTCTTCATCATATAGGTCACATTGAATCTGGCTCCGAATTCTGCATACATGCAGACTACCTTTGTCTTAGGGTCCTGGAAACTGTAGTTACCAGTGGCAGGTTGGGGAGGCATTGTTGGCTGAAATATGAAGAAATAACCAATAAGTACCATTGGAAAAGAAGCCACCAGAGGTGTAGCCAGGCGTGAAGTAGGTGAGGCAGATGAGGCAAGGTGAGGCAAGAGCCTCACCAAAATTTTACAAATAGATATTCACTCACAAATTTGAAAGTGTGGAAATAGCCCAAAATTTGACTTGCCTCGCCTTTTTCAATCTCCTGGCTTCACCACTGGTCAAAGAGGAACAATAATGGCAACTCCGCGGAGTAGCAAATCCCAACGAACAAAATATCAATTACCGAATTCCAATCAATTATACTCATTACTTTGGTTGAAAATGAAAAAATTAGATTTTAGAATTGCGAATTCCTGCAAAGCAGCCATTTTGAATTTTCTGAGGTACAAATCTGAAAAATAATACCATAATTGTGATCTACTCCAATTTGAGTATAATATAGCCATACTTTGAAGGGATCGAAAAATTATTGCGAAATCGTACATTAGACGGCCATTTTGAATTTTACGAGGCTCGAATCAGAAAAAAGATACAATATTTGCAATCTACTCTTAATTGCCTTTCATTTGAGTATAATAAAGCTATACTTCAGAGAGATCTAAAAATTAACGAAAATTTCTGTTTTCCTGTCCCCCCATACATGGCCCCTGGGGGTCAGGATGAAAAACACGGAATATATGTGAAATAGATAAATGTTGTGAATACACTACCGAAATTTCAAACAATAATATTAATTACTTTGGTTTAGAATGAAAAATTTATGATTTTTGCGAAAAAGTCCCGTCAGTTTTAAAGCGGCGGCCATCTTGAAAAAAAACAGAGGAGGGCTTCACTATATCCCTAACGAACTTCGTTCGTTGGGATAAATAGAAGAGTAGAACTAGCAAGGAATGAAGTATACAGACATTGATTTGACATTCGAAATTGTAAAAAATGCCAAAACATCAGGGAGTTTATTCAAGTCTAATAGAGAAAGCACATTGAGTTATCACAAACATTGAAGGACAATTTCACTTTAAACTGAGCCTCAAATTTAGGAAAATTAACTACTTTTAACACACATCATAGAATTTTTTCTATGATAAATTGTGAAATATCTGCTAAATTTCCAGATTCCGTAAAATATGCAGAAATAATTTTTAAGTAGAATTATTGTGGAATTTGTAATTTCTGTAGATTTTCAAACTATCGGAGCATACCTAAGCGATGTCTCCTTAAAATCTACAGAGGTATCGATCACAAAATATGCAAGCGGAGTACTTGCAGAATCTAGCAAAATAGTTACATTTTTTTCATGAAAAATTCTAGGCAAAATTTCATCCAGAAAACTAGAGTGCGTGGGTAACATACTTCAAAGGCTCTGATCTTAAAATACTACAGTATGAATATGAAATTTATTTGACAATCATGGCTTATGAATGTATCTAATATTCGAACATGACTGTATTCACGCCTTCTATAAACTGTAAACAAAGTCAACATTTCACCCGGGTATATTTGCGAACAATACCCCTGGTAATATGAGTAATATGTGACGTCATAATGGCAGCCGTAGTAATGGCGGACCATGATGAATATTCGAAACATTTTGGTGAGTTTTCATGTTCAGAGCAGGGGTAATATTGTCGAATACACCCCTAAGGGCTAGGCACAAAAGCTTTCAAACCGAAACAGAAAGCTTTCGAACAGAAAACGTTTGTGCCTAGCCCTACGGGGTGTATTCAACGATATTACCCCTACTCTTCGGTCTATATTTCTTAAATAAACACTTAACTAACTGATGTCTTCAATAATTTATAACATCATGTAAGCCATTAAATTAGTTTAAATTTAAATATAAAAGGTCTTAAGATTTATTCATTATATATAATCTACACCACACACATCATATACAAGCACTGTACATATAACTACATCTAATCAAAAGCATAATACAACATAGCATTCGAAGCAATTTTTGTAAAATGCAATTGCATATAACTAATTTAGATGTGCAAGACACACTGAGATTAGTAATTGTAATTTCACTGGTTTAACAGATGTCACAATAAATACAATTAAAAATATACAACAATAGTCAACAAATGTTTACATTAGATTATATAGAGAGAGCTGTTATGATAGGCTGCAAAGATGCGTCCCTAATTTACATGCAATTCAATTTGGCAGGCAATTTTAACAAGAGTTAGAAAGCTCCTTAGAAACCCTCAATGACTAAACATTTTTCCCAGAGACCCTACATCCCTAATTTACATGCACTGAATCCAATTTGGCAGGCAATTTTAACAAGAGTTAGAAACCACCTAGAAACTCTCGATGACTAAAACTTCTTCCCAGAACCCCTCATGAGTATGTAAACCTATTACCCAGAAACCATCATTAGTACATAGACCTATTACCCAGAAACCCTCATTAGCACATAAACCTATTACCCAGAAACCCCTGTGAGTACATAAACCTATTACCCAGAAACCCTCATCAGTACATAAACCTATCACCCAGAAACCCTAATAAGTACATAAACATATTACTCAGAAACCCTAATTAGTACATAAACCTACTTCCTAGAAACCATCAATAACACATAAACCTATTACCCAGAAACCCTTAAAACTCAAGCATTAAGACTACAGCTAATCATAAAACTATAACTATTATCCAGAAACTCTCAAACACCAAACCTACTACCCAGTAACCATCAACGGATTAATCTGTAAAACAAAATCATATATAACTCTAAAGGGCCCTATTAATTTATGTTTCAAAAATAGTGTTGAATTTTTTTAAGTTGTATGAATATCATATTCGAATTCAAGGAGGACTGGAAGCCGTTATTCAAACTTGATGCTCTGTTGCCCAGCGTGGACCAATTTGGTAACAATATTACTCATATTTTGGAGACGAACTGCCAAGGAAACTTGTATATGACCATAATATTTGAAATGTCCATCTTCTAACAAATACTTGGTCTAAAAAGACTTTTATAGAAACAGTTTTACTAAATTGTTCCATGCCGAGCAATGGAGTATCGAGTTTAAATAATGGCTGCCAATCCTCCTTGATTTGAACCTCATCTCCGAAAGCAGGAAATGCCTCATGGAGGACAAGATATTCTAATATTATTTTTGTAAAAATGAACAGAACCCTGTAACTGTACGTCTCACTAAAACTTCCAGAGTTACGATGACACCATATGTAAATATTATTATATTGAGTCAACATATGTGACATTCAAAAGCTAAAAAGGAAAACATACATTTTAGAGTATGAAATGCTAGCACTGTTTTTAATAGCCTTTTACCCTTAGCATTACTGTATTTTAGACAGAAGTGAAGATTATCCACAAATCTTTCATATAACAAAACATTTGAGTTAAAAAACAAAATGTGAGACTTAGGGGAGGCATCAAAAGTTCGATGTCGAATCGGAAACTAAATAAATCTAGTTTGACTCTGACCCCCCCCTCCCCCCAAAATTAAATACCATGAAAGTTGATCGCTGACTTCCGGTTTGAGAATTTGAAAAATTATTGCTAAACACGATCTAGTTTTTGTTAATTCCTATCGTAATTTGGAGCTTTTAACAACTATTGATAGAATAGAATCCATTGGAATGATCTTGACAAAGAAAGCATCAGGTAAAATCTTTATTTTTAAAATATTCCAAGGCATTCTGAGTCAAAATTTAAAATGTTGAAATTTGTCGTATAGCAAACTGAAATGGGTTTGAACCCCCTCCCCCCTAACTAGATTTATTTAGTTTTCTATCCGACATCGAACTTTTGATGCCTCCCCTTAGTTTCTAATACAGGCCACCAAGAGTGTTATGAGATTACTATTGCACAAATAAATGAAGCTGTATTCTCTGGGGAGTTGAGCCTCTTTTAACAAATAAAGTATAAAAAATAAACAATAGTTATGAATTAGGACAAAACTCCAATTAAATTGTCTAGACATACGACTTCAAGGACTTTAAATAGATAAATTATGCAAAATGATTAAAACAAGAACCTGTTACATGAAAACATCTTAAATTACATAAATTCCTCGATACAACTATAGTTGATGTTTCTTTGGCTAAAAAATTATAGACAATTTTCAGAATTTCTGATTCACATTATTTTCTAATCTCTGAGCAATTCATTCAAAATGGTCTACTAACATTTAAAAAACCTATCTGGGACAGATTCAATGAGTGAGTGGAAGGTGTTGACAAATGAGAACAGCACCAAAAGACAGCCCTTTATCGTATGATCTGTAAAATGAAGCCCTCTGATTGGTCAGTTCTTGTGCTGTACCAGCCTGTATTGCTACAGAGATTGTCCCCGTTGATCATCTCCGTCGCAATAGAGAAAATATCAGTACGGAGGGGACAATCTTGGAAGCAATACAGAGGATCACATGATAAAAACGTTATTGAATGATTTGAAGTGCAATACAGGATATATTCTGTCTCGATATACTGTATTGGCACTCAACTTCCTCTCGTTCCAATACGGAATTCTCGAGCAGAATATATCCTGTATTGCACTTCAAATCATTCAATAACTTATAATATATTATAAACTTCCCCCTGGGTGACTTGGATCAATACAGTAACTGAAAAAAGGGCTTGCATAGAGGGAGATAGACTAAACTGGACAAAACTGCTCAGAGAATGAAAACTGGCTCTGAAAAAACAATGTGAATAATATATAACAAAAAACTTGTATAAAAACTTGTATAAAAAAGTATGATATACCAGCGAGGTTCGCTTATTCATGTCTGACACAATTAGGTCTCTCATATATTACAATCAGTACCTTTTGTACCTTTTGTTTCTAATGGTCAATAAAATCTATTGATAGAAAAAACATACCGCAACAGTTGTCTGTGGCATTGTAGTCATTGGCTCTGTGGTTGGATTCTCTGTTGTGGCATTCTGGGTAGTGGGCTTGACTGTTGTGGGCTTCTGGGAAGTGGGTTTGACTGTCGTGGGTTTCTGGGTCGTGGGTTTGACTGTTGTGGGCTTCTGGGTAGTGGGTTTGACTGTTGTGGGCTTCTGGGTAGTGGGCTTCACTGTTGTAGGCTTCTGGGTAGTAGGTTTTGGGGTTGTGGGCTTCTGGGTAGTGGGCTTAGCAGTTGAGGGTTTTTGGGTGGTAACCTTGGGTGTTGAAGTAGGTGCGGCTGTGGTGACCACGGTTGTTGAAGTAGGTGTGGCTGTGGTGACCACGGTTGTTGAAGTAGGTGTGGCTGTGGTGACCTTGGTTGTTGTAGTAGGTGCGACTGTCGTATTCGTATCATTCGCGCCATTACAAGCTGTAGAATAAAAATTCAAACTTTGTAAAGGCATATAAAATATATGAACAGTATAGAAAATTGTAGCTGCTTTACATTTATTCTCTTAAACATGGCCTGCTGAGAATCTGAAAGACCTGGTGAGTATCTGAATGACCTGCTGAGAATCCGAATGACCTGCTGGGAATCTGAACTAGCTGCTCAGATTCTGAACGACCTACTGAGAATCTGAAAGACCTGCAGAGAATCTGAACGACCTGCTGAGAATCTGATTGACCTACTGAGAATCCGAATAACCTGCTGGGAATCTGAACTAGCTGCTCAGATTCTGAACGACCTACTGAGAATCTGAAAGACCTGCTGAGAATATGAACGACCTGCTGAGAATCCGAATGACTGCTGGGAATCTGAAAGACCTTCTGAGAATCTAAAGACCTGCTGAGAATCCAAATGACCTGCTAAGTCTGAACTACCTGCTCAAAATCTGAACGACCTGCTGAGACTTTGAAGGACCTGCTAGGAATCTGAATGACCTGCTGCGAATATGAACGACCTGTTAAGAATCTGAACAACCTGCTGGGAATCTGAACAACCTGCTGAGAATCTGAAAGACCTGCTAGGAATCTGAACGACCTGCTCGGAATCTGAATGCCCTGCTGAGAATCTGAACGATCTGCTGGGAATATGAACGACCTGCTAAGAATCTGAACATCCTGCTAAGAATCTGAAAGACCTGCTCAGAATCTGAATGACAGGAATCTGAACAAACTGCTGGGAATCTGAACATCCTGCTGAGAATCTGAAAGACCTGCTAGGAATCTGAACGACCTGCTAAGAATCTGAACATCCTGCTAAGAATCTGAAAGACCTGCTCAGAATCTGAATGCCCTGCTGAGAATCTGAACGACCTGCTGGGAATATGAACCACCTGCTAAGAATCTGAACAACCTGCTGAGAATCTGAATGACCTGCTGAGAATCTGAATGACCTGCTGAGAATCTGAATGACCTGCTGGGAATATGAATGACCTGCTAAGAATCTGAACGACCTGCTGAGAATCTGAAAGACCTGCTGGGAATATGAACGACCTGCTAAGAATCTGAACGACCTGCTGAGAATCTGAAAGACCTGCTGGGAATCTGAATGCCCTGCTGGGAATATGAACGACCTGCTAAGAATCTGAATAATCTGCTAAGAATCTGAACGACCTGATGAGAATCTGAACCACCTGCTGGGAGTCTGAATGACCTGTTAAGAATCCGAATGACCTGATGGGAATCTGAACGACCTGATGAAAATCTGAAAGACCTGCTCAGAATCTGAATGCCCTGCTGAGAATATGAATGACCTGTTCGGAATCTGAATGCCCTGCTGAGAATCTGAATGACCTGCTGAGAATCTGAACGACCTGCTGAGAATCTGAATGACCTGCTGAGAATTTGAAAGACCTGCTGGGAATCTGAACAACCTGCTGAGAATCTGAACGACCTGCTGGGAATATGAACAACCTGCTAAGAATCTGAATAACCTGCTAAGACGACCTGCTGAGAATCTGAACGACCTGCTGAGAATCTGAAAGACCTGCTGGGAATCTGAACGACCTGTTGAGAATCTGAACGACCTGCTGAGAATCTGAACGACCTGATGAGAATCTGAACCACCTGCTGGGAGTCTGAATGACCTGTTAAGAATCCGAATGACCTGATGGGAATCTGAATGACCTGATGAAAATCTGAAAGACCTGCTCGGAATCTGAATGCCCTGCTGAGAATATGAATGACCTGCTAAGAATCTGAACGACCTGCTCGGAATCTGAATGCCCTGCTGAGAATATGAATGACCTGCTGAGAATCTGAACGACCTGCTGAGAATCTGAATGACCTGCTGAGAATTTGAAAGACCTGCTGGGAATCTGAACGACCTGCTGAGAATCTAAACGACCTGCTGAGAATCAGAATGACCTGCTAAGAATCCGAATGACCTGATGGGAATCTGAACAACCTGATGGGAATCTGAATGACCTGCTGCGAATATGAACAACCTGCTAAGAATCTGAATAACCTGCTAAGAATCTGAACGACCTGCTGAGAATCTGAACGACCTGCTGAGAATCTGAAAGACCTGCTGGGAATCTGAACGACCTGTTGAGAATCTGAACGACCTGCTGAGAATCTGAATGCCCTGTTGGGAATCTGAACGACCTGATGAGAATCTGTACCTTCATAATTTCTAAAGAAAATGGTACAGTAATTTAGATCATTAGATGGGGGAGGCTGCCTAAAACTTCATTAAGAATTATCATTTCTTTTAAAGTGGCAATCACATCTTTCTGTAATGCATTTGCAAGATGCCTTGAAATAACAACTAGGTATTATCAATCAGAAACATTTTTTTCACAAACAAGTCTCATAATTTCAAAATAACACTTGGTATATGCCAGATACAACTTGACAAATCTTATTAAGACTTGCCTGGCATTAGTAGAAGTGTTGACGAAACAAAAATTAGATTGAATTTTAAGGGGGTTGGATTCAGGGAAGCTATTTTGAAGTAATTTATTTTGAGGCTCCACCCCCTACCATTACCAACCTCCCCCCCCCCTCCCTCAGAGTCAAAATAACACACATAGTTAAGTGACTACTGTTCTTGGCTTCTATCTCACAAACCCATTACTTCTGATATTACACTAAGATATCATTTCATGTTTCTGATTACACCCCCTACAAATCATTTTCTCAATTCTCACTATATTTATCCATAAATCAAAAAAATCATGAAAATGTGACGAAATACAAAAACGATTCAGTTTACATACTCAAAGTTCCCGATACAACATGGAATTTTGTGAGATTTTATTGAAAATCATGTGATAAAAGCATGATCGAGAGATACATTGGCGAAAATTTTTTAAAAGTTCAAGTAAAATCAGTTGAACTCTGCACTGATTATAAGTTCCAATTGTCTGGTTTTATCTAAGTAAGTAAATGTAAATAACACATGATTTACCATTCATAGGTGCCTTACTCTTATATTCCAATAGGAATTTAGGTCAAGAATTGTTGAAGAGGTCTTGTGAAAGGTTGTCATAATATAAGAATATCAAATCTATTTACACAACAGTATGTTTCGTACTTGTGATTTTTGACATGTGATCTGTGAAATCAGAAATTTTTGTATCAAGAGGATTGTTTATATATGTAAATTGATAAATGTTAAAATAATAGAGAGGTTTAGCACAAAGGGTTATAGTTAAAACATATCTGCAACCGCATCTCGTTTTAATTGAAGTACTATGCATAAAACTGGTGAATGTGTTATGGAAAAACATTGTTCAAAACCTCCCTAATGTTCTATTCAGTCTAGCTCACAAGGTATATCCTATTTTTCATATATCACTGCAGTTGGTTCAGTAAGCAGACCTCCATGCACAAATTAAGTCACTTATAGAGTTTGGTCAAGTCTCAGTGATTCTGTTACATAATGGCATTGAGATCATCCAGGTTTTTTCTGGTCTAATAGTTACAGTACTGAATAGAAATTTTTATGTCATACATACATCAGTTATATTCAACTTTTAAACATAAGTATACAGTGTACATGTACTCAACATTTTGAATTTATACCTTGTATTTGAATCACCATTTGAGAAGAGACATACTACAAAAATTTTAAATGGAGGTTTTATCAAAATGTCTTTTATGAAACTTTTAGCAAACTTGGTAAATCCATGATTTCATGAGTTATATTAAAGTTGATTGAGCAGTTTTACAAGTCAAAAGCAAAATATATCAATTATCACGAAGACATTAAAATTTGAATCAGCAGTTTTACAAGTTAAAAATAAAAAAAATGTTATCAATTTTCACAAAGACAATGTTGATACGATGTCATTTAAGAATTGTTGCCGCTTGAGGCTTGGAAATAAAATATCACAAAATGTACAATATGAGTGAGATACGTTATTGATACAATATTAGTCAAATAATTGTGAACAAACCATGATTGAACAAAATGTAAAACTTCGTAGATTCGAATATTATGGGATTTAAACTTTTTTAAATGTAACATTATGTAGGACTGCCTTCAAAATCATATTGTCGAAAACATACACTCATTATGTTATCTTTAAATTTCTTTCATCCTTTTCGAGCTGTATCTGTCAAAATCCTTTTTGCTGGTGCTTTTTGAGGGCTGTTATTTGGAGTCATTGAAATTATTGGTGCCGTGACTTCTATTTTCCTATAACTTTCACTATAACTTGACTGATGGGGTTCAGCATGTGACTGTTTGGGTTATACATGTGACTGTTGGGGTTCATCATGTGACTGTTGGGGTTCAGCATGACTGTTTGGGTTGTACATGTGACTGTTGGGGTTGTACATGTGACTGATGAGGTTGAACCTGCATTGTCATTTGTCACTGTTGGGGTTGTATATGTGACTGTTGGGGTTCAGCATGACTGTTTGGGTTGTACATGTGACTGTTGGGGTTGTACATGTGACTGATGAGGTTGAACCTGCATTGTCATTTGTCACTGTTGGGGTTGTACATGTGACTGTTGGGGTTCAGCATGTGACTGTTTGGGTTGTACATGTGACTGTTGGGGTTGTACATGTGACTGATGAGGTTGAACCTGCATTGTCATTTGTCACTGTTGGGGTTGTACATGTGACTGTTGGGGTTCAGCATGAATGTTTGGGTTGTACATGTGACTGTTGGGGTTGTACATGTGACTGATGAGGTTGAGCCTGCATTGTCATTTGTCACTGTTGGGGTTGTACATGTGACTGTTGGGGTTCAGCATGACTGTTTGGGTTGTACATGTGACTGTTGGGGTTGTACATGTGACTGATGAGGTTGAACCTGCATTGTCATTTGTCACTGTTGGGGTTGTACATGTGACTGTTGGGGTTGTACATGTGACTGATGAGGTTGAGCCTGCATTGTCATTTGTCACTGTTGGGGTTGTACATGTGACTGTTGGGGTTCAGCATTACTGTTTGGGTTGTACATGTGACTGT